TTGGCAGAGTTATACATTATGCCCCCTGTTTGAGATCCTAGTAATCTTGACAAAAACTAACTTTTGGTCACAATTTTAAATGTACTGAAATCTAGCCTACTTCTTTTGTAGTCATTCTCACATGTACTAAGATGGGACACAGAGCCTTACCTCAGGTAAGGCGGGGCTCTTTGTAATTAAGTAAAGTGCTCTAGTTCTGAAGCTGATCTTTGCTTTTTAAACATCATTTTACAAAGCTTACATAAATTGTTGCTCAAGTTCACATAAATATCAGCTAACACAATATGGTATCACATCTAAAACATGAATTAAAGAAAGGCTGAAAGCTTTTAACCTTTTGTAGAAAAGTAGCAAAGTACTTTTGTGTTTTACAATATTAACCTTTACACAGATTAGGCTCTCATTAACTTAAAAATATCCTTAAATTGTACCTCAATGTAAAAAGTAACAAAACTTTGCACATCCTATTGATAACAGGTCCAGTTTTAGAACATCAAATGATATAAATAAATCTCCAATGTGTTTTTCATTTAAGCCTAAAATTACCATACAACTTTAGAACACCAGCTTGATATAATGGTCTTTTAAAGTTTCTACCTTACGGACTTGTATACCTAGACGATACGAACACATTTAATAGCACAACAATCACATTAATGTTTTTATATTAACCAAGTTTAGCTCTTAAAGAAATAATATATTACAATATTGCAAAATAACAGTTGTTGTTTAACCATAGTTGTAAAATTTTTAATTTCTTTAAAATTACTTCTCAAAAAACTTACATATATAATCAACTTACACAGACCTTTATCATTTACTTAAACCTATATAGCCAACGTACAGACCTGCTTTATCACTTACTTAAACCCTCTTATTTACTTAATTACATAGACTCTCTTATCCAGAAACACATTTTTCTTCTATTAAATCCATACCTAGAACCTTCGAATTTCTTTTTTCCATCTGTTAACTTCCTTTTCTGTTCACATTTTGAAACAATCTTTGTAAATTTCTGAATTTAAGCAGATTATTTCATAGACATCAACATTTTATTAGTTTTTTTTTATCACCTAGGAAAAACTTATAAGCTTAATTTTAAAGACATCTTTACTTTCATCTGTTTACCCAATTTAAATTGAACCGTTTAAATCACGTGAATCAAAGATATTTGGATCCATTTTTAAAAATTTTTCATGAACGCTCTATATATCTGCCAATTTTCATAAAGATATCATTATTTTCATCTGTTGACAACACATAATACAAGTGTGCATACATAACACCATAGTAAAGGACTTGTAGCTTTTCAAAGGTGAAATCTCCATTGCAGTGTTTAAAAACTCCACAGTTGATATCAACACATTATTCCCCATGTCTTAAAGGGCCAGAAACAGATACCAAAATAAAAGACACAGGACAGATAAACAGAAGGAAGCTCCAGACTATGGCTGACAGACAGGAACTTTTAAAACCAGATAAGAGAGGAATCTCCAAGTTTCTAACTCCCATTTAATTATGACTCCTACACCAGTGGCACTATAGATGTCCCCACGAGTAGACCAGATGTTCTCACCGAGGGGCAACCAGAAGTGTAAAATCAAGGGTCTCAGTGTGGTGATTTTACTACATTCAGTGTCCCCTTATTTTTAAGTAGACAGAGATGGAGCAATCCTTACAGTCCAGGGAAGGAAGGAGGGAGTTTCCCAAAGCAAAAGGGGCTTCGGCAGCTGCTGGGAGTCTCTCAGTCCCTCCTTTTACTTAAAGGATTAGCTCCTTTGGTTAGGTCCAATCCCAGACACGCTGGCATATCTCCTAACTTTCCAGTAGTCAGCTCTCAAAAGTTAATCCTCCGCTTGCAGTTGTTTCGAGTGCTAGGCTTCCCCAAGAATGCAGAACAGGGGCTTCTCTAGAGTCCCCTCTGGGGTGCCAAAATTTGTGACTGAAAGTTCAGTTCCTGTCCTCGAAGCCAATTAATGCCAATTTAATAATGAGGACAGGGTTTTGAGAAAAATAAAAAGGGAGATATCAAAGTTCTTAGATCCCCAGCAGGCATTTCCCACTGCAGTGGGTCCACTCAAGCCAATTACGGGAAGAAAAAAAAACATTGCTTCCCTAATGCCATTTAACAAAGGGGAGTAAAGTTTATCAAAGTTCATTAAAAGACAGCTAAAAGGGGGTGTAAGAGGTGAGAACAGAAAAACTGGCGGTTCTATTGACTTTTGGTCCCTTACAGGGAAGCAGGAGAAGCATACCAGGGACATTTTCAGGCTAAAATTTAGCTTAAGTTACCTCCACACATCTAAGGCAGATCGGAACATGGGACACTGCATCTGTCCAAAGTAAAACAATGCCATCACACTGAACAGAGACACAGACAAAAAGACACACAAAGACACAGATTCCCTTTTCAGATTGTTGACAAAAACAGAAGTGGGGTGCTGGCCCCAAGCCAACTGGGGCCTTCCCCTCAGACAGATAGATTGGGGGAGTATCCCCCTCAGATTGGGTCTGACAACCCTAGATTGGGAGATTAGTTCCCTTGCCAGGATGTTGGAGTGAAGGCGGACAGGACAATAGAAACAAACACACATAACATAAAATTTGCAGCGCAGCCACAGAATTCACAGTGCGTTGTGGATTGCTACCCAGAAACTAAAAGCAGAGGCGGATGGAGGATCCGTCAGCTACAAAATACTTTAGTAAATACTTTACAAAATACTTTATTAAAGGCAATCCACACAGAACCCAGAAGGGGCTAGGGACGTCTCCCACAAACCCCGTCTGCTACGTCTACCTGGACCTTTTGCCGACCACAAAATAAAGAACCAGAACCTGCAGGCAACCAGAGTACAGAAAATTACAGATCGGCAATGCCTTTACTTACCAGCCGGATTTTCATCACCTCTCGATCAGGGTGACTGGGTAGGCTTATAAGGGGAATCCCTGATGAGCCCCCATATGTTATGCTCGAATTCGGGACCCCCAAAAGACCATCAGAGACCAAGATCTATGTAAGCAGCCAAGAGGTGTTATTGCAAGCTAGCTCAGTCCTCCGCACTCACATAGCAACTGGTGACGCTGAGAGGCAGATTTCATTTCTTAATCTGTTACAGCAAACTGCCTTTAACTGGTGAGCTTAGCTATTTATTTATTTACTTACTTATTTAATTATTTATTTAGTGGTGCCTGGAGCCTTGTGTGTGCTAGACAGACCTCTACCACTTAGCCACATCCCCAGCCCCATTTTATATTTATTTTGATTATTGATGTACATGGGCATGTTTCTACCACTTTATTTTTTCCTTTCTGTTTGTTATGCTTTTTTATGCTTCTTTTTTTGTCTCCTTTCTTCCATTTTTAAAAAATTTTTAAGTACATATAATGTTCATCATAATATATTTATATATTTGTCATTATATAGTGTTAAATACATATATTGTGCAGCAAATCATCAGATTTTTTTAATTTTGCAAAATCTTTTCTTAATGTTCTTGTTTTCTTATTTTTATTTTACTTTTCTACTCTTTCTAGTCTTTGATTGTTGTTTTTAATTTTACCATAAATATTAAGTGTCTAAATTTAATCTTAAGCTACTCCTCCCCTCAAATAATATAAAGGCTTTTAATTCTCTTATCTTCCCAATATATATGCTGTTTTTGACAAATATTTTAGTGGTTATGACCTTTACTGTACACATTAGACCATTTTATAATGTAATCATATATCATTTCTTTATATTCACATTCATGTTTGCCAGTTTCTTAGCCCTTCATTTCTCTTGCATTAAATTTTCCTTCTAAGAACATTTTTCTTTCTCCTTAAATAAACCAGTAGAGGTTTCTTTAGTGTATATTTGATTTTGGTAAGCTTTGACAATTTTTATTCATATGAAACCTTATACTTGAAAAGTAATTATTTTGAGTATGTATTTTAGTTATTTTTGTCTTGTCTTTGGAAATATTTATCAGTGTTCCTATTTCTGTTGTTACTTATACATATTTTTTTTATAGTGGGGAATAGGTGATTTTTCCTATTTTTGCTGTTTCTTTTAAAGTCTTATTTCTCTAGTGTTATTCAGATTCATATTTTGAACCTATCTGGGTTTGAGTTTCTTTTTCTTTATTCATAAATATAAAGCGGGATGTGTTTAATTTTAACATTTTTTTTTTCATTTCTAAATGTTGTATAAAGTTCTTTTATAAATCTGCTTGGTTGTTTTTAATAGTCTTTTGTCATTTTCCCATTTCTATAATTTCATTTTTTATTTCTTCAGGCATTTTATGTTTTCTACATAGCATAGCAACTTTATGTTGATATCTGATGACTCTTAATACCCATATACCTTTGGTATTTATTTTTATTGTTTATGTTCCATTTATGTTTGGTTATGATGGTTGTGTTTTTTGGAAATCTGTAGTTATGAACTCAGATTTTATTGTCTTAATGTGTGAGAAGCCTAAATTTCTTTGAGATTGTTTTCTCTATAGATGTGATTTTCCTTTTGCTAGGAGGCAGGCAGTAGTACATATCTGAGTCCGCTTTAGCCCCTCTAATTCAGAGAGTCTCAGTTTTAGTTTTTTTCTCCTTGCTACTGGTCCACAGGTTCGTCTTCATATTTTTAATCCTTTAGGCAACCTTATTTTTTATCATTTCCAATCATTCAATATACTTTTTTAGAAAACACACCTGTTTATTAAATTTCACTAAATCTTTATTTTGATCATCATATTTCATATGCCTGTATGTTCCACTCAGTTGTAGAAACCAAGTTTAAATCAGCTGCTCCCTTGCATTTTCTACAATGGCATAATAAGTTGAGACTTTAAACAGGGTACCATGCCTCTTAGTATCTGCTCAAAAGTAGTTCATTTCCTTTAATTTTTTTCCTGAGGTAAATAATTTTGGCTCTTCTTGACTTAATAATAGCTACTTTGATGGCCAAATTTGGTTTCTAGGTGGCAGAATTGGTAACTTATATTTTTTTTACAAAACTGTAGGAACTAGTCCAGGCTAGTGAGCGATTAAAAAACCAATCCAAAGAGCTGAAAGACGCACACTGTCAGAGGAAACTGGCCATGCAGGAATTTATGGAGATCAATGAGCGGCTAACAGAATTGCACACCCAAAAACAGAAACTTGCTCGCCATGTCCGAGATAAGGAAGAAGAGGTGGACCTGGTGATGCAAAAAGTTGAAAGCTTAAGGCAAGAGCTGCGCAGAACAGAAAGAGCCAAAAAAGAGGTTAGTAGTCAGGCAAATTTCGTAGTGCCATGGGATAGTGATTAAAGCTGCTTTTTGAGACTAGTGAAATAATACATATTTCATTTTTTAATTTTTGAAAAAAAGTTATTTTATAGTTTGATAATATCATTTTATGTGAAGTCAACATTTGAATTACCTTCCTATTATAAGATAAATTCCCTTGGGGGAAAATATTTTGTTTGAAAAAAGTAATAACCACAAAATCTGCTCTTTTCACTCTATTTTAAAGCTGGAAGTTCATACTGACGCTCTAGTTGCTGAAGCATCTAAAGACAGGAAACTGCGGGAGCAGAGCGAGCACTACTCTAAACAACTGGAGAATGAATTGGAAGGACTGAAGGTATCTTTTGCTTTCCCTAATTAATGTGTTTTTTTTAAGGCTTGATAAGAGTGTTAGTTTCTGTACCCTCTGCAGTGTAAAATGGAAATTACCCTTAAACCTATTGTTCTTAGTTTTCATTTTTATTTTTTTTATTCTAATTTGTTATACATAGTAGCAGAATGCAATTCATTTCATATTACACATATAGAGCACAATTTTTCAGGACACTGATTGTACACAAAGTATTTTTCACACCATTTTAATTCTCATTCTTACCACAGGGAAGATGATACAGATTTCCTAAGGCTGAAAAAAAGGGAAGGTCACGTTTAGTGGAGAATAGGAATCTATTAGGAAGAAGTTATAATATTTTTTGAGGACTGCCTGCCTGAATAAGATGTACTGGTAATCTGTATTAGAGTTATGGTAAGATATCTAGACTCCTGCCTGTCTTATAAATGACTCAGGAGAGGCTCAGACAACTTTGCAGAACTTGGGTTAGTTGGAATGAGATGATAGTAGACACAGGCTAACACATCTCAGCAGTTACTTTTTAAGAGAAATCCTGTGCCATCTCTTGAGTTGGATTACCTAGGTTTAACCTCTAATTTATCAGTTACTAGTTGTATAACACCAAACAAAACATTTAATCCCTTCATGCTTTAATTTTCTCATCTTTAAAATCCTGTCTTATTTCAGGAGTACATATATACATTTGTAAGCTGACACATAAGTGCTCAATCATAATTAATATATAATAATAGTATTATATATATCAATGAAAATATTAGAATCAAAGTGAATGTTATCTCAGGAAGTGTAAGTACTCCTTCAATGTTGTTTAGAATTCTATTAATAACTGTAACATAGTTCTTATTAATGACATTCACAAACCTGTCTCCTCACCTAGACTGTAACCTAACTTATTGAAAACATAGGTAGATTATTAACCTGCCCTAGTGCAGAGCCAAATATTTAATACTTGTTTAATAAGTGTATTAAATCATACAAATGGTCAGAACTTTTTCTCTGGTTGATTGAATATCAGTGGTTGCAGGTAAAATTCCTCCTCTGGGTTAAATAAAAATATAAACTCTAAGGGCTGGGGTTGTGGCTCAGTGGTAGAGTGCTTGCCTAGCATGTATGAGGCACTGGGTTCAGTTCTAAGCACCACATATAAATAAATAAAATGAAGGTCCATTGACAACTAAAAAAAATCACATATATTTGTCTACTTGTCATTATTGCATTGTTTATTAAAACTGCCTAATAAATAATGCATTTAAAGAATGCAGACCAGGTCATAGCACATATTAAAGGCTCAGTAAATGCAATGATTATGACCACAGTGTAATTTCCTTAGAATATTTTTTGAAAGTGGCATTTCTTGGTTAAAAGATATATGAATATAATTTAAAAGCACATTTTGGCTCTTTGAGAATTGTAGGAATTTTTAGTCCATTAGAGTAATTTTCAACAGACTTAAAGAGAGAAATAGATCTACAATGAGAGAGACTTCAGGGCTGGAGTTGTGGCTCGGTGGTAGAGCACTTGCCTCGCATGTGTGGAGCACTGGGTTTGGTTCTCAGCACTGCATATTAAATAAATTAATAAAATAAAGGTCCATCAACAAGTAAAAAAAATACTTTTTAAAAGAGAGAGACTTCAGTATATTGGATAGAACATAGAGACATATCAATAGGAAATTGAGATCTTGTTCAGCACTAAAACTAACTAGGCTTACCAAATATTGGTAGAAACTTTCATCCAGTATCAGTAGAGTATACATTCTTTGCAAATGAATTTCCCAAATTCCAGGATATTTATGTTATACCACAAAGCAGTCTCAATTAATGTAAAAAGACTGAAATTATACAAAGTATCTTCTCTAGCCACAATGAAATGGTGCTAGAAATTAATAACAGAAAAATTGAATATTCAAAGATGTGGACATTAAACACTCAAACAGCTCCTGGGTTAAAGAACAAATCATAGGGAATTTACAAAATACCTAAATGAATGAAAATGAAAACACAACATATCGGAATTTATCGGGTTCAGTAAAGCCAGTATTCAAAGGGAAATTTACAGCTATAAATGCCTATATTAAAAAGAGGGAAAGACCTCACATCAGTAACTTTATACTTTAAGGATGTATAAAAAGAAGGGCAAAATAAACCCAAAGATGAAGAAGCAAAGAAATAGAAAAGAATAGGGCAGAGATAAATAATTAGAGATTAGAAGAATGATAGAAGCAAGGAAACCAAAAGTTTTTAAAGAAGATCAGCAAAATTGACAAATCTTTAGAAGACTGGAGAGAGGGAGAGAGGAAATGAATATGCAAATCAACAAGTGAGCACTTTATTACTGACCACTGCAAAGTAAAAGAATTAAGAGAGAACACTGTGAACAAATGTATGCCAACAAAGTAGGCAAACTAGATGAAATGAACAAATTCCTAGAAGGACACAAATAACCTAAAATGACTCAAGATGAAATAGAAAATCATATATGGCTGGGAATGTTGCTCAGTAGTAAAGAGCCACTGGGTTCAATCCCCAGTACCAAAAAAGAATATCTCAACAGACCTATAAATAAAGAGATTGAATTAATATTCAGAAACCTTTAACAAAGAAGTCCAGAATCAGACTGCTCTACTGGTAAATTGGAACCAAAAATTTAAGGGAGAGTTAATACAAATCTTTCTCAAATTCTTCCAAAAATCAAAGAGGAAGAAACACTACCTAACACATTCTGTGAGCTCAGCATTACCCTGAATACCAAAGTCAGAAAAAAAATCAGGAAAAGAAAATTATACATCAACATTTCTTATGACCATAGATGTGTAAATCCTCAACAAATTACTAGTATATTGCATCCAAAGGTGTATTATAAGGGTTGTATACCAAGCAGAGTATTTCAGGAATGCAAGGGTATTCCAACATAAAATCAATAAATGTAATACATTAATAGAACCAAAAGGAAAAAAAAAAGAAAATGATTGTCTGAATGGATACATGAATGTCATTTCAACAATCCAACATTCTTTTTTTTTAAGATTTATTTTTAAGATGGACACCATATCTTTATTTATTTTATTTATTTTTATGTGGTGCTGAGGATCGAACCCAGTGCCTCCCATGTGCAAGGCAAGTACTTTACTGCTGAGCTATAACCCCAGCACCCCAACATTCTTTTATGATAAAAATTATCAGAAAAATAGGGATAGAAGAGAACATACTCAGTAGAATAAAAGGCATTTTAAAAAACCCCACAGAATATTATACTCAATGGTAAAAGAATGAAAGTTTGCCCCTTAAGATCAGGAATGAGGCAAGGATGCCCATTTCACCAGGCTGTTCAACTTTACTGGAGATTCTAGCCAGAGCAATTACACAAGTAAAAGAAATAAAAGGCTTCCAAATTACAAAGGAAGAACTAAAATGATCCACATTCAAAGGTGATACAGTCCTACATTTAGAAAATCCCAATGAATAAAGAAGAAACATAATAGAGTTTATAAGTAAATTTACCAAAGTTGCAACATACAAACAAGGATAACACACAAAAATCAGTTGTTTTCCTATAAGCCAGCAGTGAACAATTTGCACAGGAATTTAAAATAGCAATGTCATTTACAATAGCATCTAAAAGAATAAAATGCAGTGAAGTGCGTTTAAACAAGCTAGTTAAAAACTTATACATTGAAAATGATAAAACATCGTATTAAGGAATTAAAGAAAACCTCAATAAATGGAAAGACACCATCCCGTGTTTATGTGTAGGAGGACTTAATATTGTTAAAATGAGAATATTACCCAACGTGATGTACAGCTTCAACTTAATTCCTGTCAAAATTACAATAGCCTTTTTTCACACATTTTCAAATTTATTTGGACTTTCAAAGGAGTTGAACATCCAAAAAGTCTTAAAGAAGGAAGATAAAGGTGAAGGAATTCACACATTTTGATTTTACTACTCATTACAAAGTCAAAGTAACCCAGGGTGGTGCTCTCATAAAGTTAGACATACAGACCAATGGCATATAGTTATGAGTCCTGAAATAAATGCATGAATTAATGGTGAATTGCATTTTGCAATTACAAAGTCTGTTCAGTGGGGGAAAAATAGTCTCAACTGTTGTATTGGGATGACTACATATCCAACATGCAAAACAATGAAGTTGAATGCCTTCCTAACGTTATATACAAAAATTAACTAAAAATGAATCAACAACCTTAATGTTAGAGCTGTAACAATAAAACTCTAAGAATAATTTAGATTTGGCAATGGGTTCTTAGAAGGGACACTGAAAATATAAGCATCAGAATAAAAAATAAATTGGACTTTATCAAAATAAAGTTTTATGTGCATTACATTAAAGGACGTTTTCAAGAAAGTGAAAAGACAGCCTGGTATAGTGGCACATGCCTGTAATCCCAGTGGTCGAGAGGCTGAGGCAGGAGGATCACAAGTTCACAGCCAGCCCCAGCAATTTAGTGAGGCCCTAAGCAACTTAGCAAGGCCCTGTCTCTAAATAAAATATAAAAAGGCCTGAGGATGTGGCTCAGTGGTCAAGCATCCTTGGGTTCAGTCCCCAGTACCAAAAAGAAAGAAGAAAGTGAAAAGACAACTGAAGGGAATGTAAGAATATATTTGCAAATCATTCATCTGATAATGGTTTTAAATCCAGATTATATAAAGAATACATACAGACCAACAATGAAAAGGCAACCTAGTACCAAAAAAATGGGCAAAGGTCTTCAATAGATATATCTTCAAAGGAGATATACAAATGGCGAATTAACATATGGAAAGATGCCTAGCATTATTAATTATTAATGAAATGCAAAATACAACCAAATGAGATACTATTGCATATCTACTAGGCATAGCTAAATTAAAGAGAGATAGATAGAAAGTAAGTATTGGCAAGGATATAGGGAAATTGGAACCTTTGTTCATAGCTGGTGGAAACATAAAATTATGCAGCAACTTTTTTAAATATTTTATTTTTT